GAAGTACCAGCTGTACAAGATCTCCCCTCAGGCCCATTCCAGAACTGAAATTGTGTGATTCTGTGATCTAACCTCCACAGTTTTATATCATACTCCCATGCAGTCCCCACCTAGCCACAATTTTGCCTGAGAACATAATGGAAAGATCTTTCTACCATTTATCAATGTCCCACACAAATTTTCATTCAAGACCTAACCAAAACATACGCTCCTTTTATCCTGGGCCTCCTTACTGATAAGACAAACGTCAGCAATTTGATGACTGGTTGTTTTTTTTAAAAAAGAAAAGTGAGTATGTTATGTTATATGTGATATTTTTACATTATATCCATTTCTGGTTCTTTCTGTCTATGCCTACATGTTTTTCTGTCTCTCTCTGTCTCTTTCTCTCTTTCTACCCTTCTCCCTCTTGGAGTATTGTAATTTACAGGTTCATTTTTTCCCTTTATATTTTAAAAAAAAATTTATGTGTAAGGTATCTCAGAAAGAAAGATACCAAAGGTGTTGAAAAAATTGTGACTGAGGTAAAAATTAACCACTATACTTGGGAAACAGGCAGTCACCTTTTTTGCATTGACTTGGAAAAATATAGAGTATATGAGTCCTTTGTGTTTATCATTTCTTGACTGTGGCAGAGCATTTGATTCACATCTTTTCCAAGAACATGTGCATCAAAATCATTCAAATCCTTTGAAAGATGTAATAATAACCCCATTCAGTGACCCTCTGACAACAGAAAAAAGGTGGGACATAAAACTCTTCCCCATATCAACATGTATTTGGATGGAAAATCTATAGTATTTGTCCATTAGTATAGTAGTATTGTTATATGGCAGCAGTCTCCAGAAATTTAAAGGTGACTGTCACATAAATGGTGGTGGAAAGGCACAAACAGGTTGCAAAATATAACCAATGGAGAACTTCAAAGAACAGGAATATAAGTGGTCATCAAGGAAATACACGATAAGAAGAGAAGACAGTCTCAAGTGGCAAATGTGAGAGATGATGGTCAGAAGATCCTGAATTTTTTTATATGAAAACAGAAAGCATTTTATGGACAAAAAGTGTGCAGCCATCAAAGTAAACAAATAGCAGAACCTGCTTTGAGTTTCTGACTTCATTGTACATAATCTGTTTAAAAAAATTTTTTTTCTTTAAATTCAGAATTTAATGATCCCTGTAAAAATGAGAACACTTTTATATTCAAAGCAGAACAGAAAAAATACAGTTATGTAAAACCATGAATCTGTTGCATACAGCTTGCTCTTTCAATGTAATGTAATTCAACATGTTATTTTCTGGTATGCAGTTTGTTTTTGTTTGTTGGTTTGGTTTTGTCAAGGCAATTGGGGTTAAGTGACTTGCCCAGAGTCACACAGCTAGTCAGTATCAAATGTCTTGTCTGAGACCACATTTGAACTCAGGTCCTCCTGACTCTAGGGCCGGTGCTCTATTCCACTGCCCCACCTAGCTGCCCCCAACCTTTTACTTTCAAAGTTGCCTTGTTTTTCTGTTTTCGTCCTGAATTTCCCTTTGTTCTCTTTCATACATGTTATAAAATGCGTCACTTATCTTATTTTTAGTGGGGGCAAAGAAAAAAGAAAAACAGTATTTGTAATATATTAATATAATCAAGAAAAACAAATCCATATATTTTTCATACTTTCAAATGTATATCTGATTCCAGACATAAGTCTTTTACTCTGCTGTCAGGAGGTGGGTAGCATCTTTAGTCATCAGCTTTCAGAAGTCAGAGTTCTTAAAATCTTTCGAAGTTATTTTTCTTCACAGTATTGTTACCGTATAAATTGTTCTTTTTCTGCTCCTTCACCCTGTAGCATTTTATATAAGCATTCCCAGATTTCTCAAAACTTTTTTATTTTTAATTTTTTAAGGTGTAATATTATATCTATATACCATAATTTGTTCAGCCATTGGATGGCAAAATAGCTGTTATAAATATTTTTTGTACATATAGGATCTTTTTCCTTTTTTCTTTGTTCGTTATTTCTGATCTGAAGCTGAAGTGACTGATTAAAATGCTGTAACACTTCTGAGCTAATGTCATATTGTTCATTTCTTTTGTTGTTGTTGCTTATTTTGAAAGATAGCAAATATCTTGAAGCTATTTGCAGACAAAGCTCTCCAATTATTTTATTCATTGTAAGAAATGCAAAATTAAAGTATAGTAAGGGCTAAAATTACTTACGATAAAAATAGTTCTAAGACTGAAATGTTAAAAACTTCTACGTAGTTGTCTATTTTGTCTCTAGAGCAGAATATTAGCTCCAGTAATATACAGAACAAGTCAGTATCCTAGCAACATGTTATTCTGTATCCTAGCAACACGTGGTGACCGTTCTACAAGGACATTGTCAAATACAGATACGTACAATAGAATCACATCTGAACTCTGGTGGAAGATAAGCAAGATATTATCCTCACCCTGTAATATTTCCAAGTCTCTAGGTTCTTTCCTGAATAAGAGGATCTATTTTTCTATTTGTTTTCAGTAAATAGAGGAACAAGTTAAATTACACAGTATTTGTGTAACACCTCTATTAGAAAAAATCTACTAATGGTGTGAGGAAATATTGGGCACTCAATATGTTCCCAGCACTTGACAGGTTTGCTAACAGATTTAATCACCCCTGAATTAGCAGACACCTATCTCTCCTGTCCTCACTTCAACACTCAATTATCCTCTCCGACTTTTCCCTTCCCAGACTGATCTCTATCTGGGCATTCATAATACCACATTGCTCACCACTAAAAGCATTGCTTTTAGTTTTCACCTATCATTAATTAATCCTTAATGTTGCTACCTCCAGTTGGTGTCATAGTAACCACAGTGGGGAGCAGTCTCAAAAACAAGAGAGAAAAGACTATTATCAGTATGGCTACACCGTATATAATAAATTTACTTGAGAGATGGCATTTGTGTGATGAGAAATTATCCCTGGGTTTCATCAGTCTTCCTTTCTCCAAGTCTGTACCTGCATACCATACTATCTCTCCACCCATGCCCTTTCTTGGACTTCAGAAAGCTATCCCAGGTACTTGTGAGCCACAACCCTCTCCACCCTATAGCTCAGACTCCTACTTTGTTTAGTCATCCAAAAGGACCCTTAATTCAAAGAAAAAACATGTAATGAAATACTATAGTAATAAAAATAATAACAGACCAGCCTCCATAAACCTGGAGTTCATTTTCCCATAAATACCCCCTCAGAGGGAAGAGTGAATATGGATAGGAATCACATGTGGAGGGGTAATTCTATGCTGACTGCATGTCGATTCTTGACTCCAGATGTTATTCAGCTATCCTGGTCTCTTCAGTACCACCTTTTACCCTGTCTTTGGAGATACACTGGTTTAGTTTTTTTCCTTGAATGGTGGCAACACAGCTCCACAGCTCCACTGACCACTGGAGGGGCTTGGAGTAAAACTAGACCTGACCTGCAAGTATCAAGAAGGAAACAAAGGTTCAGAAAATAGTTTGGAACCATTTCTTACCTGGAACATAATGATTGCTAGTTCCTGATGTTAAGTGGCAAGATAATAGAAGGAAAAAAAGTATTCCTCAATGAAGATACAAGACTTTTTAGATATTTTACATCCAGTTAAAAGCCTAAACTTGAATATATTCCCCTTATAAAGAACGTCAAATAATCTTTAGACCTGAGATAGACAAAGTGCCATAGAGTTAATACTTACAGTATAGTAAAGTCTTTTGCCTGTTTTTCTTACTTGCTCTGTGTGTGTGTGTGTGTGTGTGTGTGTGTGTGTGTGTGTGTTTCAAAGATGACTGCGTTCTAGAAAATAAGTATTTAATCAAACCACTTCCTGGCTCCTGTGCTTGCTAGGTTTCTCACCAGGGCAATGAGGCTAGGCTTGCCCTCAATTAACAGCAGGACAGGTCAGGCAACTGAGGGATGTGCTGACACAAATCCTCAGCCTTGAACCTTATAATTACCTGTAGCAAACCTCACTGTTACTAAACCTGGACTCATTCCCAGTGGCTAGCATACTATCACCCTTTTCTACCCTCCCTTCCCGTGATACTGAACACCTGACTGCTCAAAAACATCCCCTTCCCCAGCCTCAGCTGTATACTCCCTAATTCTCATCTCCTTAACCCTACTTCTCTGTATCCCATTCCAGAACTCCCTCACCTTTCCACTGTGCGTTCTAGAGTAACAGCTTCACAATTAAAAAACTTTTAAAATGAAACAAATATTACCTATGAATTTTCAAAGGGAAAACGATGGAAAATTGGGGAAGATACCTTCATCATTATCTGAATTTACACATATGGAAATAGTATTCTTATGAAGAGTCCCTTTTTTTTAAAGTATATTTTGACACATTTTTCTTTTATGAATTATAGAGCCAGCAAAATCTATTGCTTAGTAATATTGTATTTAAGTATACCACATATACTTAAATATTATAAAGCCTTGAGTTGAAAAGGATGTCAAAATTAGTTTAAAATCAGACCATTAATCTGTAAAACTGTTCTTAGGACCAAATTGCTATAATAGTCTGTGATTTAGTTTGATAGGACTTTTTTTTTGCTTTGTTTTGTTTTTGTTTTTGTTTTTTCAGGCAGTTGTGGTTAAGTGACTTGCCCAGAGTCACACAGCTAGTAAGTGTTGAGTGTTTAGTCTGAGGCCGAATTTGAACTCAGGTCCTCCTGACTTTGGGGCCGGTGCTCTATCCATGGCGCCACCTAGCTGCCCTTGATAGGACTTTTTTGATAGAATTATTGTCATCCCACTTGGATAGCAATCCAGAAAATTTAAAGTTGATTGTATAAAATATACGCATGTAGACCGTAAAGATTATCATTCAATACTGTTTCAGCAAAATTCTGACAGTTTAAGGTGATTTTTTTATTTTCTATTAAAGATTGAATACTATTCTATAATGTACCAAGTATTTTAACAAAGTACACAATTAATAGATGCTTAATCTGTACACAAAATTATATTTTTTAGACATGACCAGAAGTGTGACTATAACCACTACTGAAGGGATGTTTGAAAAAGCCAAGGGGGAAACAGTTCATTTGCCTTGCAAATTTACAATTGCGCCAGAAGACCAAGAACCACTACACATTGAATGGATTAAATCACCAGCTGATAACCAAAGGGTTGACCAAGAGGTGAGTATTAATAAATATGTATCAACAGAAATCTTTCTGAACATCTACTGTACATATAGCATGTCATAATTTGGGGGCACTCATCCGTGATTTAGTCATAGTAATAAACTCTTAGCATGGAAAATCCTTCCACTGATAAGTTTGGCAGCTCCTCTAAAATTCAGATTAGGTAGCTGCCTGAGGCACTGAGAGATTAAGTGTTTCCAAGACTAACCCTGTATCTACTGGGCCACTGTTGCTTTCAATAATTAAAACTTAGAAGTGGTCTACATGTCCAGTAGCTCATTAAAATGTAGCCATTTATGAATTATCCTAGGAACTTAACCACTATTTAGCATATTTGTGTCTAAAAATATTTTAATTGACTTGTGAAATAGTCTGTTTGTTGAGCACCATGTGCAAATTCAATGTATAAAATTTGATGGAATACTTATAAGTTGGCTACTTGTAGCAAAAATATAAGATACAGAGGGTAATGTGGGAATCTGTTACAGAAGAGGGAGGCAATAACAGTAGCTAGTAACTAACATTTATATGGCACTTACTACACACTTACTGTGCTAAGTGCTTCGTTTAATCCTCCCAACAAGACTGGGAGGTAGGTACTATTAATTTGCCCATCTTACAGGTCAAGAAACTGAGGCAAATAGCAATTAAGCCACTTGCTTGGGTCACACAGCTAATAATAAGTTGAGCCTATTTGAACTCAGATCTTCCTGACTCCAGGTCCAGCATTCTAGCTGCCTCTAGAGACATTCTTGTTAAGCCTCCAATGCAATCCTGTAAAACAAATAAAATATGGTAGGAATATAAGTAGTGAAATGATTCACTAAATTTACATAGCTGATTTCCAGTTTGGTATTTTCTCAAGTTGCTTTGCTTTCTGTGTTTTAGAATCTTTGAAAAAGCCACGTCTGCTTAGTGTAGTGCAAGAGAGTCCAGGTGAAAGAGTATCCTACACAGAGATTGCTTTCATAAATTTTATTGCTACTTACAAGGGACAAAGGCAGAGAGCTGCTAGCAGGGACCATCTCATTGTGTAGCCTACATATCCTCAGTGAACACCACCTTGGGGGAGATATTGGCCACATTCCAATTGAAAGGCCAGAGATCCTCAAGGCTTGATCTTATATATCATTTGAGACAAAGCCTGTATGATACTAATGGGAGACTACCCTGTTATCTGTGTGACAAGTAAAGTCAAGGTAAGAGAATTTAAGGCTAGCAGTACCATTCCAGCAAAAGGCTAAAATATGGGGGTCTAAGGGCATGCTAATCAAACTGATTTTCACTAGCTGATACTTAGAATTTGTCTAACAAGAGATTATGAGCTATCATATCAAAATTTTAAATAAGAATGAAAAAAGTACTTAATAGCTGTGTGGCCCTGGGCAAGTCACGTAACCCTGATTGCCTCACCAAAAAAAAAAGTACGGAAAGTAGAGAAAGTACTTGATTATTAATTTATTATTGTATGCCTGCTGTGTGGCCATGAAACTGGAATGACATTTTTTTCATTATTAAATTTTTTAGAAGCCTGAATTATTTAAATTTTTTGATATTGATTAAATGGTTATAAATAAATTGAGCTTAATTGAATAGCCATTAGAACCTAAAACTGCACTAAGACTTTTGGAATATCCCATGCTTCTGTTTGATATAGTAATACAAATTGAAACTGCTCCCTCCTAATGTCTTAGTTGCAAAATCCAGTTACCTTTTCTCAATCCTCATTCTTCTTGGCCTGTCTCTAGCCTTTGACATTGTTCAAAACTCTCTCCTCCTAAATAGTCTCTTCTCTCTCGGTTTTCTGGATGCTACTGTCTCTTGGTTTCCCTCCTACCTATCTGACCACTCCTTCTCCTTTGTTGGTTCCCTCTCAAAATCACGCCCTCTAACTGAAGGTGTCCCACAAGGTTTTATCCTGCTTCTTCGTTTCTCCTCTCTGTACTAGTAATTTCACTTGGTTTAATTACTATCTTTATGCTGATGATTCCTTTCCTGCCCCAGTCTCTCTGCCCATCTACAATCTCCTATCTCCAACTGCCTTTTAGATATCTGGAATTGGATAAGCCAGTGGACATGTTAAACTCACTAAGTCCAAATAGAACTCATTGTCTTTTCCCCCAAACGCTTCCTCTATTCTGCTTTCCCTATTACTTACTGTAGAGGGCAACACCATCCTCCTGAGTGGGATTTTCCTATGAAGACTTCTCATTGTAATTAAGGTTGGGATAAGACAGTCCTGAATTTGGAGATAAGTTCAGGAGGCAGAATAGGATTAAGTATAGATTTCTATAATTCCCGTTTTCTCCCAGTGCCACATCAGTAGTTAAAGTTTACCAAGTTTGAAACCCCTGAAACCTCCCCTGTATCTTGTTGCTACACCTGTTGCTATAGTCCAGTCACAGTGACTTTGTCACAACAGCACAGCATCTAGCTTGACTGCACATTTTTAATTGCTTCTTTGGCACCACTTTAGCAAACTAAGGGGCTAAATATAGATATGTATATTGTTTCTTTGTTTTTTGTCCCTAGGGTAGATTTTCGAGTTTTAGATTGTGAGCCAAGTAGTGGCCGGTTGGTGGGAGGGGGAATTTTCATGTTAGGGTTATTTAATCTGGTTTTTTGCTTCTGTACTCTGTCTCCCTTCATCAGAACCTACTGGTGGAGGGACACCCGAATGTCGAGATTTGAAAATAAACTTTCTGTTCCTACCTTAATATACCTCTAAGTGTTTTTAAATTGAGTCATATCCCACACATTCCTCTCCCTCAGATTGCACAGTGGGAATCCTCCTTGAGTACTCTATCTCTCACTCTGCACTTCCAATCTGTTGTCAAGGCCTGTTGATTTCACCGTTGTAACATCTCTTTAAATGCCCCCTTCTTTTCTCGGGACACCACCACTGCTCTCATCGCCATTGTCCTGGATTACTGCAAATAGTGCACTGTTGTGTTTCTCCCCACTCCAAACATTCTCCATCTAAAGTGATTTTCTCAAAACACAAATCTGAATCATGTTACCCCTCAACTCAGACTGCAGTGGCTTCTTACTGCCACCATACAAAATGCTCTATTTTGCATTCAAAGTCCTTTATTACCTGGTCTGCTCTTAGCTTTCCAGTCCTCTTATACCTCACTCCCCATTACTCTTTGATCCAGTGACAGCTGGCTTCCTGGCTCTTCTAAGAATAAACTAGGGGTGGGGAACTTGTGGCCTCAAGGCCACATGTGGCCTTTTAGGTCCTTGGTTGTGGCCTTTTGACTGAGTCCAAGTTTTACAGAACAAATCCTTTTATTAAGGGGATTTGTTCTGTGAAGTTTGGATTCAGCCAGAGGGCCGCAGTTGAGGGCCTAGAGGGCTACATATGGACTTGAGGCTGTAAGTTCCCCACCCCTGAACAAGGCACTCCCCACCTCTTGTCTGTGGGTATTATCTCTGGCTGACCCTGCATGGAAGTTTGACCTTGTCTCAGGCTTCCTTTAAATCCCGAGTAAAATCCTACCTGCTGCAGGAAACTTTCCCCAACCCCTCTTAATTCCAGTGCCTTCCCTTTGTTAATTAGTTCTTTTATATCCTGCCTATAGCTTGCTTTGTATGTATTTGTTTACATGTTGTCTCCCTCATTAGATTTTAATCTCCTTGAGAGCAGGAATTATCTTTTGCCTCTTTCTTAATCCCAAGGTGCCTGGAACAAAGCAGGAACTTAATAAATGTTTATTGAATTAAACTGAATACAAACCCTGAAAAGGGATGGTTGGGACTCTTGTTTCTTTGTTGAAGAAAAAGTAGATTCCCTCATGTCCCATTTGAATCATAGCAGAAAGAGCACTGGATTTGTAAACTCATTTGAGTCTTTGCCCTCTTCCTTCCTAGTTGAGTGACTTTAGGTAAGTCACTTTATCAGCCTGGCCCTCAGTTCCCTGACTTTTAAAATAAAGTTTAGAGCAGTTTGAATACTAATGTCTCTTCTAACTCTAAATCTGCCTTCCTATGATCTAAATAATTCCATCATTTTTATACTCATACGTTTTAATTCTATAACTTTTATTGATTTTAATTCATTTTTAATTTGATGTTCCCATTTTAGCGTGTTCCAGAAAAGACAATAGTAGCTTTTCCATGCTACTGTAGTTTTTTGTTTCTGTTTTTGTTTTTTTACTGGTATATGTACATTTTTACTGTAAAACTGGTATATTGGCCAACTTAATGAAACAGTTGTTATTTTCCCCTTCGTTTTAGATAATTTTATATTCAGGAGGCAACGTTTATGATATATATTCCGAAGATCTAAAAGGACGAGTTTATTTTACAAGCAGTGATCCCAAATTAGGTGATGCATCAATAAATATAACAAATTTACAATTATCAGATATGGGCACATATCAATGCAAAGTAAAAAAACTTCCTGGTGTTGCAAACAAAAAGATGCAGCTTTCTGTGCTTGGTAAGTTTTTTTTTAGATCTTTTAAAGTAGCGATAGATATTGTCATGGGATCTAAGTCAAAATCTCTCTAGTTTTAATAGTAATTTTAATCATTTTAAAGCTTCCATGCTTTTTGTGTGACAGTCAGAATGTGCAAGTCCCTACTTCCAGGATGCTTAAATTAAAATGACTGAAAACTTGAGGTTTTGTTTAGGGAAATAGGGAGGATTATAAAGACATCTGATTTATGGAGTGCATAAGGTATCTTAAAAATGAGTGATTTTTTGCCTTAAACATATTTCATTTGTAAAAGTTTATTAAAAATAAACTTTTTGTATGATCTTTACATGTTTTGGCAAGAAATAAGATGGCACTCATTTCACAGGCCAGCAAGCTTAGGCTTAAGCAGTATGAGAATTACCAGAAGAGCAGGCTGGTTTTAGAAGAGGCAGAGGAATAAGAAACCAAATTGCCAGCATTCGCTTCATTGTGGGGAAAGCCAGGGAGTTCCAGTAAAAACATCTGTTCATCTACTTCTGCTTTTTTGACTGTGCGGAACACAACAGATGTGGCAAGTTCTCACAGAGATGAGAGTACCAGATCATCTTATTTGTCTCCTGAGGAACTTGTCTGTGGGCCAGAAAGTAACAATTAGAACTAACATAGGACAACTGATTGATTTAAGACTGGGAAAGGAGGCTGTATGTTGTCGCCTTGTTTAACTTATGTGCAGAGTACATTATGTGAAATGCTGGGCTGAACAAATCAAAAGCCCAAATTGAGGTTGCCGGGGAAAAGTACCAACAATCTCAGATATGCAGACAATACCATTCTGGCAGAAGGTGAGGAAGAATGAAAAGCCTCTTGATGGGGGTGAAAGAGGAGAGTATAAAAGCTGGCTTGAAGTTTGACATCAAAAAACCTAAGCCCTTGGCAATTGGTTCCATCACTTCCTGGCAAAAAGAGGAAGAAGAAATGGAAGTAATGTCAGATTTTATATTCTTGGGATCAAAGACACTGTAGAGAGTAACTGCAGCCATGAAATTAAAAGATGCTTGCTACTTGGAAGGAAAGCTATGGCAAATCTGGACAGTATACTGAAAAACAGACATCACTTTGCTAACAAAGGTCCCTATAGTCAAAGCTGTGGTTTTTCCGTTAGCAATATATGGCTGTGAAAATTGGACTATAAAGAAAGCTGAGCATTGCAGAATTGATGCTTTCAAATTGTGGTACTGGAGAAGACTTTTGAGAGTCTCTTGGACAGCAAGGAAATCAAGTCACTTAGTACTTAAAGAAATTAATTCAGACTACTCTGAGGGACAGATACTTGAAACTTAAATACTTTTGTCACATAATGAGAGGACAGGACCCATTGGAAAAGACCCTGATATTGGGAAAGATTGAAGGCAGAAGGAAAAGGGGATGGCAGAGGATGAGGTAGTTAGATAGCATGGTGCAAACAGTGAACGTGAACCTGAACAGATGTCAGGATGCAGTGAAGGATGGAAGAGTGTGAGGTCATGAAAAGTTGGATACAATTGAAGAACAACAAAGATGAGCTTCCACAGTGAGGACTAGAAGGACATACATATGGTGTGATAGAGGGGCAGCTAGGTGGTGCAGTGGATAGAGCACCAGCCCTGGAGTCAGGAGGACCTGAGTTCAAATCCAGCCTCAAACACTTGATGCTAGCTGTGTGACCGTAGGCAAGTCACTTAACCCCAATTGCCTCACCAAAAAAATTTTTTTTTAAATGGTGTGATGGAAAGAGCAGAGACCAATAGAAGACTGTGATTCTAGTCTAGTCTCTCCCTCTAACTAGCTGTGAGACCTTGGGGAAAATTCCCTATTCTATATGGGCCTCAGTTTCCTAGAAGATACAGGAGTATTCTAGATAGTCTCTGAGAGATTATGGAACTTGAGATGCAAAATTATGTATTTCTACCACATTTTATCTTTTTGTGGTGATGTGTGGAACCAGTCCTAATTAACCTGAAAATGTGGAAGCCCTCTGCTTTTTTTTCACTAAATCATCAGGGACAAAATTTAACATTGATGGGTATTAGAGGAGTGAAATGTGAATAAGCATGAATAAGATGTGCATTAGCAGAAGGTTCTAATGTAGAATTTCATGAACATTACTTTTTTGTAATACTTTGTTTTGGGGAAACTTTCTGACAAAATTACATGTCTGCCATCATGTAGAAACTCGGCTATCTGATTGTTTACTTTGACATTAATTGGCTTTTACCTTTATTCTTTTATGTATCTGGAAGCTGATTTTTCATTTACTTGGAAAGGTTAGCACCCAGAATAGGCTAGGATAGATTTTGAGGTATTTTGGATATTCCCTTCTGAAAAAAAGTCATCATAAGTATTTTATCTTTTCTTTGATTAATTAATTTTTAGTTTTCAACATTCAGTTTTCTGAGATTTTGAGTTCTAAATTTTCTCCCTCCTCTCCTCAAGACGACATGCAATCTGACATAGGCTATATGTACAGTCATATTAAACATATTTCCACATTGGTCATGTTGTGAAAGAAGAATCAGAACAAAAGGGGAAAACCACAAGAAAGAAAAACAAACAAAAAAAAATAGTATGCTTCAATCTGCATTCAGATTCCATAATTCTTTCTCTGGATGTGGATAGCATTTTCCATTACATCATAAGTATTTTTTAAGCACTTTACTATGAGATGGGCACTGGGAATACAAATATAGGCAAACATCCAAATCATGTGTTCATGAACTTACCAGTTAGAGGCAGGGGCTGCAGGAGCCTAGAGACGATCCCAGGTAAGAAGCAGATGGAGGTATTATGGCATTGTTATGGCAAGCAAGAAACAGAACTGGAGATGGGGTGGGGGAGGGTGTCCACACTATGTCACCCACAGCCCTATTTTTAATAATTACTCTTTTAAGATAACTGAGGAAGTAAGAAGGAGAAAACATTGTTTTATAAGAGGCAGGTGAAGTCAACTTTATGGATTTCTTTTTAAGCATTATGACAGATATCCCAGGACACCTGAATTCTCCTCTAATCAATGAAATGGATGTTGAAGTTTAGAGTAATAAAATATGAAAGGACATACTTATGCTTTTTGGGAGGTATGGGGGGAATCAGCTTTCAAGTCAACTTGGGGAGCTAAAATTGTTATTGTGTTTGTCTTCTGTTTGCCTTCAGTACCATCATGGAGCTTTGGGAGAAATTTTATAGGACACCAGAGTCTTAAATGACACTGGTCCAAAGTATTTCCTGCTCTATTCTTCTTTCACTGAATAGCAGAAATGGAATTAAGCTAAGGAAGACTTTTTGGAATAAGTAATAAACAGCTACATAGATGTAGATAACATCCTGAAATTTTTAATTTATTTCTTACTTCAAAAAATATAAATTATATGTATGTGTGTGTGTGTATACTCTTAGGTAAAAGGAGAGTATTAAATAAAACAAATTAATTAAATGATTCAATTTCTTTTGCAGTTAAGCCTTCAGGAACAAGATGTTACATTGATGGATCATCAGAGATTGGCAGTGATTTTAAAATAAGATGTGAATCAGGAGAAGGTTCACTTCCTTTATACTATGAATGGCAAAAATTGCCCACCACAGAAAAATTTCCTCCTGTGTCGTTTTCAGGTATTGCTAGTACTATAATTTATGTGTTTATATTTTAGAGTATAGACTGCGTCTATTTTAACATTTGCTTGGCTAAAAATAAATTTGCTCTTTTAGGACACTTACATAACCCCATTTATGAAATGAGAAATTGGTTCAAACAAGTTACTTATTAGCAGCTAAATAACAAATCACTTATCAACATTCATTGTGAGTTGTTTTTTTTAAGTTTTGAGTTCCAAATTCTATCCCTTCCCCCCCTCCCCAAACAAGGTAAGCAGTCTAATATAGGCTGTACATGTACAATCATGTAAAACATTTTCATATTAATCATTTTGTACAAGAAGACAAAAAGAAAGTGAAAAAATAGTATGCTTCAGTCTGTATTCAAACAACATTAGTTCTTTCTCTGGAGGTGGATGACATTTTTTATCATGAGTCTTTTGAGATTGTCTTGGAACAGATGTGTATTTATAATGAAAAGAATATTAAATTTTGCATCTAGAAGTTGAGTCTAGTTCTCAGTTAAAAGCCTGGCCATGTCATCTTAGGTGAGTCATTAATTTTATCTTTTTCACTGAACTTGAATTTCCTCAATTTTTAAATGGGAATGAAGACAAAGTAAAACTACCATTGACATTACAGAGTTGTTTTAGGGATATATTACAAAAAGCTCACTGTGAATACGTTGTGCTTGTATACAGTTATTAAAATAGTATGAAAATTGACAATTCAAGTTTTACACTGTCAAAAGAGATGATAATCTTGGATTTATTATTTTTTGCTGATTACTCATATTTGGTCATAAAGAGAGATAGTCCCTGAATTCTGATCCTAAAATAATACCCAGGAAAAGTCACCCTACCCAGATTCAACCAAATGGAAATGCCCTCCCAGCTGTTGTTATTCTTAAAGACTTTTCAACATTCATTTCCACAAGCTTTTCAGTTTTAAATTTTCTCCCCCCCCCCCCCCGCAAGACAGCATGCAATCTGATACAGGCTCTACATATACATTCCTGTTAAACATATTTTCATGTTAGTCATGTTGTAAAGAAGAATTAGAGGAGCAGCTAGGTGGCACAGTGGATAGAGCACCAGCCCTGGATTCAGGAGGATCTGAGTTCAAATCTAGCCTCACATATAACACTTACTAGCTGTGTGACCCTGGGCAAGTTACTTAATCCCATTAACTAGCCAAAAATAATAATAATAATAATAATAATAAAAAGAAGAAGAAGAAGAAGAAGAAGAAGAAGAAGAACCAATAGGAGGAACCACAAGAAAGAAGAAACAAAACAAAACCGAAGGAAAAAAAGAGCAAATGGTATGCTTCAATCTGCATTCAAACTCCATAGTTCTTTCTCTGGATGTGGCCAGCATTTTCCATTATGAGACTTTTGGAGATGTCTTAGATCCTTGAATTGCTGAGAAGAGCTAAGTCTATCACAGTCATCACACAGTGTAGCTGTTACTGTGTACAATGTTCTCCTGGTTCTGCTCACTTCACACAGCATCAGACTATGCATAAAAGTCTTTCCAGGTTTTTCTGAAGTCTGCTTGCTCATCATTTCTTATAGCACAGTAGTATTCCATTACATTCATATACCACAACTTGTTCAGCCATTCCCCAATTAATGGGCATCCCCTCAATTTCCAATTCTTTGCCACCACAGAAAGAACTGCTATAAATATTTTTGTGCATGTGGGTCCTTTTCCCATTTTTATGATCTCTTTGGAATACAGACCTAGAAAGGCTGTTGCTGGGTCAAAGGGTCACATTTTTATAGCCCTTTGGGCATATTTCGAAATTACTCTCCAAAAGGGTTGGATCATTTCACAACTCCACCACCAATGTATTAATGTTCCAATTTTCCCACATCTTCTCCAACATTTATCCTTTTCCTGTTTTGTCATGTTGGCCAATCTGATAGGTGTGATGTGGTACCTCAGAGTTGTTTTGATTTTCGTTTCTCTAATTAATAGTGATTTAGAGCATTTTTTCATGACTATAGATAGCTTTAATTTCTTCATTTGAAAACTGCCTGTTCACATCCTTTGACCATTTATCAATGGTGGAATGACTTGTGTTCATATAAATTTGACTTATTTCTCTATATATTTCAAAAATGAGGCCTTTATCAGAATCACTGGTTCTAAAAATTCTTTCCCAGTTTTCTGCTTCCCTCCTAATCTTGGTTGCATTGGCTTTGTTTGTGCAAAAACTTTTCGATTTAATATAATCAGATTATCCATTTTATATTTCATAATGTTCTCTATGTCTTATTTGGTCATAAATTCTTCTATTCTCCACACATATAACAGATAAACTATTCCTTGCTCTCCCAATTTACTTATAGTATCAACTTTTATAACTAAACTGTGTACCCATTTTGACTTTATTTTGGTATAGGGTGTAAGATGTTGGTCCATGCCTAGTTTCTGCCATACTGTTTTCCAGTTTTCCCAGCAGTTTTTGTCAAATAGTAAGTTCTTATCCCAGAAGCTAGAGTCTTTGGGTTTATCAAATGGTAAATTACTATAGTTATTGACTACTGTCTTGCATACCCAACTTATTCCACCAATTCACCACTCTATTTCTTAGCCATTATCAAGTAATTTTGATGATTGATGCTTTGTAATACAATTTAATATCTGGTACGGCTAGGCCACCTTCCCTACCATTTCTTTTCATTAATATACCTTGATATTCTGGACCTTTGTTCTTCAGATGAATTTTGTTATTATTTTCTCTAGCTCTATAAAATATTTTTTGATAGTTTGATTGGTGTGGCACTGAATAAGTAAATTAACTTAGGTAGAATTGTCTTTTTTATTATATTAGCTCAGCCTCCCCACAAACAACTGATGCTTTTCCAGTTATTTAGATCTGATTTTATTTGTGTGAAAAGTGTTTTGTAATTGTGTTCATATAGTTCCTGGGTAAGAACCTATTTTTATAAATATATATATAACATTTTCATAAAATGTATATATGTATTTTTATAAAAATCTATACACACACACACACACACACTCTTTTTGTGGTGGCAAAGAACTGGAAATTGAGGGAATGCTCATCAACTTGGCAATGGCTGTACAAGTTGTGGTATATGATTGTGGTGGAATACTATTGTGGCACAAGAAATAACAAGCAGGATGTCTTCAGAAAAACCTGGGAAGACTTATACAAATTCATGCAAATTGAAGTGAGCAAAACCAGGAAAACGTTGTACACAGTAACAGCAATATTTTTTTTGATGTTGAATCAAATTTAATTTTTTTCTATATAAGTTCTTTATTTCTTTTTGTTTTTTTGTTTTGTCTTTTTTTAAATATAAATTTATTTATTTTTAGTTTTCAACATTAACTTCCACAAGTTTTTGAGTTCCAAATTTTCACCCCATCTCCCCCCTCCTCCCACCCCAAGATGGCATGCATTCTGAATATCCCTTCCCCTAGTCTGTCCTCTCTTCTATCTCTCCCCTCTTCTCTAATCCCCTTCCCCTTCTATTTTCCTGTAGGGCAGGATAGACTTCTGTACCCCATTTCCTGTATTTCTTATTTCCCAGTAGCATGTGAAAACATTTTTTTAAAACATATGTTTTTAAAACTTTAGGTTTCAAATTTTCTCTCTTCCTCCCTCCCCACCCACCCTCATTGAAAAGGCAAGCAACTCAATATAGGTTGTACGTGTGCAGTTATGCAAAACACTTCCATAGTAGACATGCTGTGAAAAACTAACTCTATTTCCCTTAATCCTATCCTGCCCTCCCATTTATTCTATTCTTTCTTTTGACCCTGTCCTCCTCAGAAGTATTTCTTCTGATTACCCCTTTCCCAATCTGCCCTCCTCTCTATCATCCCCCTGCTCTCTTGTCCCCTTCTCCCCTATTTTCCTGTAGGGTAAGACAGATTTCCATACCCAATTGAATGTGTATGTTATTCCTCCTTAAGCCAAATCCTATGAGAATAAGATTCCTCATTCCCTCTCACCTTCCCCTGTTTCCCCTCCACTGTAAGAGACTTTTCTTTTCTGTTTTTTTTTGTGAGATAATTTACCCCATTCTACCTCTCCTCTTTTCTCTCCAGTATAATCCTCTCTCATCCCTTAATTTTATTCTCCAGATATGACCCCTTAATCTTCAACTCACCCTGTGCCCTCTATCTATCTATCTATCTATCTATCTATCTATCTATCTATCTATCTATACATAATTTTTTTCCTCCAACTACCCTAATACTGACAAAGGTCTCATGAGTTATAAATATCATCTTTCCATGCAGGAATGTAAACAGTTCAATCTTAATAAGTCTCTTATGATTTCTCTTTCCTGTTTACCTCTTCATGTTCCACTTGAGTCCTGTATTTGAAAGTCAAATTTTCTATTCAGCTCTGGTCTTTTCATCAGAATGCTTGAAAGTCCTCTATTTCACTGAATGACCATTTTTCCCCTGAAGGATTATACTCAGTTTTGCTGGGTAGGTGATTCTTGGTTGTAATCCTATCTCCTTTGCCCTCGGAATATTATATTCCATGCCCTGTGGTCCTTTAATGTAGAAGCTGCTAAATCTTGTGTTATCCTGATTGTGTTTCCACAGTACTTGAATTGTTTCCTTCTGGCAGCTTGTAATATTTTCTCCTTGACCTGGGAACTCTGGAATTTGGCTATATTCCTAGGAGTTTTCCTTTGGGGATCTCTTTCAGGAGGAGATCTGTGGATTCTTTCAATTTCTATTTTGCCCTCTGGTTCTAATTATCAGGGCAGTTTTCCTTGATAATTTCTTGAAAGATGATGTCTAGGCTCTTTTTTTGATCATGGCTTTCAGATAGTCCAATAATTTTTAAATTCTCTCTCCTGGATCTATTTTCCAGGTCAGTTGTTTTTCCAATGAGATATTTCACATTGTTTTCTAATTTTTCATTCTTTTGGATTTGTTTTACAGTGTCTTGATTTCTCATAAAGTCACTATCTTCCAATTGCTCTATTCTAATTTTTAAGGAAGTATTTTCTTCAGTAA